GCATCAGTGATGAGTAGAAGGGTCCTGGGCGGAGCCCCCCGAGGAAAACCCTCCTAAGTAACTCTGGATCTACTCCCATCAACTACTTGCAAGATTCGTATTCTGAAAACAATGAAACTTTTTAGAGAATTTCAATTATAAATTCAGTGTTGCATCTGAGAGATGGAATGAATCCTTGATGATTCGTCGATTTGCTATGAACTGCTCCACAAACAGTCTAACAAGCTTGCTAAAGGTGTTTACAAAGCCCCTTAACAGAGAGTAGAACCAGGTTTGAGCTTGTCCCTTAAGAGTGGCTGGGAACACCTTACATAGAACCCCCTTGTTTGTTGGATACTGTATTCCAGGGTGAGAAGATGAAAAAACATGTCACCCTCGACTTCATGACTGTTCCCTGAAAGTTGTTAGAGTTAGTGTGGAAGCGATCTTTTTTATCTAGGGGGAACTCTTCTCGGACGAGGTGATGTAGTTCGCTACAGATGACATCATCTGGAACGGTAGCAAGACGTGGTGGGGGTTAGGGGGGTGCATGGGTTAGGGAGATGCATGAGATGGATGAGTGGAACTTGCGGTGTCTAGGAGTTTAGCATCACGTCCAGGCACATCATCTCCTGACAAAGAAATTGTTTCCTTTTGAGCAGGGGGGACGGTACGAGTTCCTCCGGGCAGTATGTTTCTCGTAAGTCATGAATTTAATGGTAAACGAGTTTTGGTCATCGGTGTGGATAGTGGCTGTTGGATCCCTCGTAGGAATTGTATGATCTCTGGTTGAGACTCCTCCATTTTACGTATTTGTTCTTCCATAGAAGGACCTGAAACCCCCTCGTTGGTTGGATAACGTCTTATAGGGCAGGAAGATGAAGAAACATATCACCCTTGACTTCGTTACTGCTCCCTAGAACGATAGGAGTTAGAGCGAGCTACTCTGTTGTCTTGAATATTTTGCCTGGTGGCCATGTAGGAAATTGAGCAAGTACTTCAGTGGTGGGATTGAGAGTTTTCCACAGACGGCGCCAAACCGATGCGTGCTAGAAAATTTGCGGCGGTAGAGTAACAAGTTACGTCTTAGCGTTGTACGAAAGTTCAGCACACACACGGGGTCTGGCCTAGTTGTCGAAATCCACTATTGATTGATGATTACAGAAATCTCTTGTCCCACAGACGGGAAAGGGTAACTATATTTTTCAGATTACAATGTCGACTGACGACGTTTGGTTGGCAGTGATTGATGACGGTAGGTGGAGGTTGACGAAGGTCGGCGGTGGTCGTCAGCGATCGACGACGATCAACGAAGGAGGTCGGCGGTGGTCAACGGCGGCCGGCGGTGGTCGACAACGATTGGTGGTGATGCTGAGCTGGAGTTTCTCCTCAAGACCTTAGACTCTCTCTAGACTTCATCCTCCCTCATGAGAGGGATGAGGCTCTATTTATAGTGTTCTGGGAACAATTAATGCAAGAATATGAACCATTTTGATCGGAAGGTCTGGAGAACTTCCCTCAATCATACGGCGTTTAATGGACATTTGAGTGCCTTAATGATGTCAGAATTAAGTGATCTTGGGCTCGTTGGATTCGTTTTGTTGAGCCGCTTGATTTGAGTATAAACTTGCCATATTTGACGATCGTTTGACTTTGCAAATGTATTCATAAATCTTCTAGTTGTGATTTAATGACTTGATCTGGGCTTGATTTGACTTGGATTAGACTAGAATTCATATCATCAGGTTCGTCTCATTGAACATGCCAGCTTGACTATAAGTTTGCTGAAATCGGAGCTCTGGAAAACCTTTTATCAAAATTTAAATATTTATTGATTAAAATATCATCTCGAGATTCGTGTCATGCCTCGAGATTCGTGTTGGATGATGAAAATTTGTTTGTGGTGTATCAGAACATAATATTATTTTGTCTCTATTATAAGAAACAAGTCGGCTCATGAGTGAGTCAAACTCGTAAAATCATGCTCAAGCTCAAGCACGATTCATTAATCGGGCTCATTGTCAAGCCGATAGCTATCCTCAAAATTCAATACTGTACTCTGCAAGAAAATTCTTAATGCTGATAAGCATAGCTATAATAATCAAATGAATTTTATTTATATATTTGTTAATTGTTATCCGACAAAACCCGCAAGCGCCAAAGAAGACAAGATAACATTTCTCGTGAACCATCCAGACAGACACATACAATTTCATGGTGCCAGCTAATTTTAATATATATATA